GACCCATCTCTTCTGGGTGACCGAGAACAGGGACCTGTGGCCTCTGGGTCTGGAGCTGGGCCAGCCCGAGGCCGAGGTTATAAAAGCCCGTGGAGGCCGTGGGAGGGGCCATGGGAGGGGCCATGGAAGGGGCCGCGGAGGGGCCCAGGGGCTGGCCCAGCTCCAGCCATGGGCCTTCTCAGCCCACCCCAGACGTGCTCCTCCGGGCCTCGCTCCGCAGGGCGCGTGGCTCCGAAGGCTTCCCCTCAGACGGGACAGCTGTCCCCTGGCCTCCCTGGCCAGACGGCAGGCCTTACAGCCAAGCCCAGCGTTGGTCGGGAGGCCCTGCAGGCACCCGGCGGCCGGCCAGCAGGAAAATCCTCTGGCTGGAAGGGTGTGGGAGCCATCTCGTCCTTCACTGAGTCCACCGCCGTCGGTAGACCCAGAGGCCACAGAGGGGGCAGAACGAGGGGGACATTTGGGTCATGCTGCCCTTGATAGGTCCCCAGGGCTGCTGGAGAGAGGGTCCGGGACACCTGTGGGCTCCTCCGAAGCCGCTGGGCTCGAGGCCCGTCCTGTTCCTGCTCCAGGAATGTTCTTCCCCGGCAGAGACCGCGCAGAGGGCGCCCCTTCCTCTCGCCTCCTTCCGCCACCCCCTTCCTGCCACGCTCCTCCCCTCCCTCCCACCTTCTCCTCCATCTCTTTCTTCCCTTCTTTCTCTGCCCCTCCCCCACGGTGTGCAAATAACTCGAGGAAAATAGGCATCTTTTCCACCAGCAAAAGAGCGACCACGCTTTGTCTTCAGAGACGTCACTGGGCCCAGGAGCAGGCCCGTGGACTGGAGACAGGAGCCACACAGCTGTCCCAGGGCTTCCGTGGGCCCCGCTCTGGCGCCCGTGCGGAGAGCTGGGAACCGGGCAGTGGAGGCTGGTGTCCTTGCCTGTGCTGTGCTGGTGAGTCCCTGCCGGGCCCACGGTCATGGCCAGGATGGGCTGGCCGGTCCCTGTACAGCACCGCAGGCCAGAGCCGAGCCCTACGGGGCAGGTGTGGGGGGCTCACGGCTCCCCCTGCGGGTCTAGAAGGTTCCGGCAGAAATGTGTCTGGTGGGCGCCGTGCACCGTGGGGTCAGCTTCGGTGGCCGTGCCGGTCACGCTCCTCCCGCGAGTCCTGAGATTTCAGTGGAATGTTTGTGTGCCCCCCAGATTCATGTTGAAATCTAGGGGTGGGGCCTTTGGGAGCGTCTGTGCTCGGAAGGGGACCAGTGCCCGGGGCCCTCCCCTCCTCCACCGTGCGAGGACAGTGCCTGGTCTCCCACCAGAGCGTGGCCGTGCTGGCCCCTCGGCCTCCCAGCCTCCAGAGCAGCGGCAACAACGTCTGTTGCTCATGAAGCACTCACGGGAGGCGTTTTGTTACAGCCGCTGAGCTGACGGTGCCACCTCGGCGTCCGAAGGGCAGAGGCGGGCCAGGTGCTACAGCCTGGCCCTGGGAGAGCGGGCTCACCCCGTGACCTTGGCCAGGCCTCGTCATCCTCTGAGCCTGGCCATAAGGGGGCGCCGGCAGCGGCACATCCCCTGGGCATCTGTGCGGGTAAAGGGGCGTCGTGCAGTTCACTGGGGTGTCTGGGCTCAGTGCCTGCCCCGGCAGTGCGGCGGTGGTCATTCAGAGCCGCAGGGAGCCCTGGCCCTCAGGGAGCCGTGTGCAGCCTGGGGTTTCAGTTCCTCCTTCGGCACGCTGGGTGTCGGCCCACGCCGCGGACCCTTTCGTGCAAAGGCCTTCGTCCACAACCCGCAGCCTGCGTCTGGAAACGCCATGTAGCCTTCTAAAGCGCATCAGACGCGCTCGAGGCTTCTCGACGCCCCTTTCAAATGCACTGGAAGCAGCACCTCCTGCGGAATCTCAGATTGCGGACCCCGGAGAGGGCTTGGCCTCGGCCTTGGGGAGTTGGGAGTGACTTCGCTCGCCGTCCCAGCTGGTAGAGCCGCTGGGGTGCAGCCTGGAGGGCACAGGTGCACCTTAGACCAGCAGGTGCAGGCCACCTGCACAGCCCGCCCTGCGCACATGCTCCGTCTGGGGCTGGGGGCGCTGTGCATCTATTCCGTTCTCTGTGAACAGACGAGTAAGAGAGAGACCAGACCAGGATTCAAAGGCATCGGGGTGGGCGTGAGTCTGCTTTTCCTCCCATTGCTCTCAAACTCTGTGACCGCCCCGGCCAGCTGAGTCCCAGCGAGGCGGAGAAGTTCCCAGGCTCAGGCCGCACTGGGCCAGCCCGGTGTGAGCCCGCCCTTAGGAGATGCCGGAGCCCTTTCTGGCTCCCCAGCATGACTGCAAGTTCAGGCGAAGATGATAGGGTTCCGACCTCCAGGTCCACCCCAGTTGTTCCCTAGAGGGGGGACGTCCCCGAGCCAGGGGGACAGGCAGCACTCAGCTCCCTTGTCACAAACCACCTGGGCTGCCTCCGCTGAGGGTGAGCAGCTGGCCAAGTGGGCAGTCTTCAGATTTCCAGTGCCCGTTGCACGTCCTGTTGGGACATGCCTGCTGCGACATCAAATCAAAGTTCTCCGATACCGGGAGTATTTCTCCTTCGTGTCTCCCACCCGAGGGGTCACCTGGGAGGATTCTCAGGTCCCACAGCGAGTATGTCTGTACCCAAAACTCCTTTATCCGCGGGCTTCAGCCGAAAGCAGCTCTGAGGACAGGTGATGAGGACCCGGGGCATCGAATCCTGAGCATCGGTCACTCGGCTGATGGTCTTCTCTGGGCATGTCTGTTCTGCCGCCGGGGTGACGAGGACCGATGCCCTCACTGGGGGTGGGGGTGACGAGGACCGCTGCCCTCACTGGGGATGGGGGTGACGAGGACCGCTGCCCTCACCAGGTGCGGGGCTGACGAGGACCGATGCCCTCCCTGGGTGCCATGCTGCCCTAACGCGGTCCTCACAGCACCCAGAGAGGACGGTGACTATTATTAGGCCCATTTTAGAGATGGGGAAACTGAGGCGCAGAAGGGCTAATTACCTTGGCCAGTAAGTGGCAGAGGCAGGGCTTGACCCTGGGCGCCCAGAGGGGCCACCCTGGGATGCGCTCCTCCGGCCCTACCGGTTGGTTGGGAGGGAGTGTGGGTTCACGCTCCGTGTCGGGCCATGGAAAGCCCGGGATCTGCTACAGTGTGTGGGTGCCGCTTCCGTCCTGGGTGTGCGGCACCCTGTACCCCGTCTCGGATTTGATCTGGGGCCTGCAGCCCACTTAGTAGTGAATCTCCACGGCTTCTGAGATGGACGGCCTGTGGGTGCTGTCGGTTGGATTGGGCTGGATTGGTTCCAACAAAATAAGTGGGTGCTGCCCTTCCGCAGTGGGAAGTGGTGTGAGCGCGTGGCCTGAACCTGCGTGGAAGAGGCTGGCGGGGGAATGCAGCCTCCGCCCGGGACTGTGGGCCCGTGGGCCGGTGGGCCCGTGGGCCCATGGGGTGCCGGCTGGTTCTCAGCAGAGCATGCAGTACCTGCTCTCACTGGGAGATGGCGCCCTGCCCCAACAGTTGGAATCTGTGCTTCCAACCCAGAGGCTGCCAAAGCCCCACAGATCCCTGGTATTAACCAGGAAAACAAATCAGGGAAACACCTTGGCTGGCAGGTCTCACACCCAGCCCTGGGGCCAGGACCATTAGGACGGTAACTGAGTCCCCTTCGCAAACAGGGGCAGAGCAGACAGGTGGTGCCCATCTGCGGTAGGCATGAGGACCCCCGTTCTTCATTCAGGAAGGGACATGAAATGCCACCCAAGCAGGAACGAGTGTAGGGAGTATCGGGGTGGGGAGGAGGGGAGCTCTCCTTCCCCCGTGGCCGGGAGAGCTTCATAGGCGGCCGGGAGGAAAAGCCCTTCACCCCGGGTTAGGAGACAGAAGCCCTAGGAGGGTGTGGGACTCGTCAACCTGAGCCCTCAAGGAGACACATGTTCTCCCGCTGAAGCTGCTCAGGGCTGGGGGCTCTTGCTAGCCTGCCCTGCCCCCTGCATGGGCACCCAGACTGTGGCTCCACCCCTGCCCCCCCAAGGTCCCCCCACCACACTGCTCCTGGGTGGGGCTCCTTCAGCACCCCTGCTGGGATGCGTGAGCCCAAACCTACACCCGCACCCAGGGGCCCACACTGGTGGGTGCCAGCGGAGGCCAGAAGACTCCCTTTCTCCCAAAGGTCTTCCACCACCTGGCTGCCTGGGACTCCCAGGAGGGCCTTTCCCTTTACACCCCGTTTTGCCCCTCAGAGCTGGGGCAGGAGACCCCGCGACAGGCTGCTTTGGGAGCCGGCCAAGAGCTTGGCTCTCCCGACTGCTGGGAGCCTGGAGCCACGGTGAACCAGGTCCCCAGCAGCGGGTGGAGCTGGCCCTGAGCAGCGCGGTCTCCGAAGGGTGCCCGGGCCTCGCCAAGCCCAGCCGCGTGGGGGTGGGGAGGCAGCGACCAATCAGCGCCGCGCGGGCCGCCGGCCGCGGGCGGGTTTTATGCTGAAGAGCCGGTGGTCGGTCTGTCCTCGCCGGTCACCCCGTCCCGACTCCTGGCCACGAGGTTGCACACCTCACAGCCAGCAGCCAGGGGGCGGCGAGGAGCCGGAGCGGAGAGGAAAAATCCACCCATTTCCTGGGCAGATTGCGTCGGCCGTCGCCCGGCCGTGTCCCCGCCTCCTGGCCGCGGCCCCCGCGCAGTCTGCCCGGCGCTCGGAGCCAGAGCCGGGCGGCCCTTCCCGGCGGCGGCAGGACGCGCAGCGGCGCGGGGGACGCGGAGGGCGCGGCGGCACCGGCCCCGGGACAGCGGCGGGGCGCGCGGAGGCCGCCGGCAGCCACTCTCTGCGCCCGGAGGCGGCGCACCATGGCCCGGGCGCGCGGGCCGGCGGCGGCGGCGGCGGGCGGGCGGCGGCGGGCCGAAGGCGCGCGGGGACACGGCCGGGCGCCCCTGCCCGCCGCGGTGCCCGCCGCCTGAAGGCTGCCCGGGGCGCGGAGCCGGCGCCGGCGCGGCGCGGGCGCAGGAGGCTTCTCGAGGCGCGATGTCGGTGCCGCTGCTCAAGATCGGGGTTGTGCTGAGCACCATGGCCATGATCACCAACTGGATGTCCCAGACGCTGCCCTCGCTGGTGGGCCTCAACACCACCAAGCTCTCGGCGGCCAGCGGCGGGACGCTCGACCGCAGCACCGGCGTAAGTGCGCCCGCCGCCCGCCTTCGCGGCACCCCTCCCTCGCTCCCTCCCGATCTCCAACCGGGGCTGGGCGGCGCCGCGAGGGAGCGGGCGCGGGGCGCGGGGCGCGGGCGCCGGCCAGAGTCAGGGGGCGGCTCCTTTGCGCTGCGGTAGTGACCCTTCTCCCCACGCCCCAGCCCGGCCACTCCCGCCGCGGTCCCTCGGGCCACGCTTCCCTGCTCTGCCCGGTCCCTTCACAGGATGGGGGTGCCAGCTCAGACACTCCGGCTTGGAGTCCTCATTCAACTAATAACAAACCCCCCAGTGATAAGGCTCGGACACCGAGGCGGGGACTTGGGGACTTGTCCAAGGTCACTCAGCAAGTGAGGGGTGGAGACGCGGCCGCTCACCCCAGCCCTGCCGGTCCGCCCAGGGCTCTGAACGAAGCCCTCCCTACTTTGTGAAGCCGGACTTGACCGGCCTGGCCGCGGGCTGGGGAGCTGGTGCCCCCGCCTGCCTGCACGTCCCGAAGTACCAAGGCGCCTTTTCCTCCCCATTCCCACTCGAAGGTCCACCAGGGAAGGGTGTGGAGGGCCGGCCAGGCCAGGCCCCTGGGTGCCGCCGGCTGCGGAGCTTATTCCCCTGCCGTCCGCACACCCCTCCCCCCGCCCTGCCTCCCTCCGGGCCTGGGGGAGGAGGGAGACCCCCGCCGATTTGGGGCAGGGCTGACTTAGAGCGTGGCTGAGCCTCTGGAGTGAGGCTGAACTGGAACCGCGAGCCCCGGCGGGCGCCCAAGGAAGGGGTGCGCCCCAGGCCCGGCTCCCCTCAGCTGGAAGGAGAGGTGAAGGACACGAGGCTGCCGGCTCCTTCTCGCCGTCAAGGGCGCAGTGCTGTGGGAGAGGCCTGGGGTGACCCCCTTCTGAGCCCCTCCGCCTCACCTGCTGTCGCTGGAATCGGGCGGTTTTTCTTTCATAATGACTCGCGCCGCCTCTGGGCTCCGGGCTGCTGGGGTTGGAAATGAATGAGATGAAATGTATCCCCACTCTAGTTTCTCAACACCCAACTTCTCCCCATCCTGGGACTAAAAATAGCAGGAGGTGACCTGAGGCTCTTGGGCAGGCTGCAGGGGACACAGGAGGGGCAGGGGCTGAGCTCAGGGCGTGTGTGGGACCTCTGCCCTGGGTGCCTGGCGGTCAGGACCACCTGACCTGAGCTGCACGGTGACACCCGCCACACAGCTCTGGTTTCTTGGTGACAGGGCTGAGATTGGGTGTGACCCCTGCCCAGCATGACACCCAAACTTGGTGACATCCACCAAATGGCTCGTGGGTGGCAGCGCCAGAAGCCTGGCTTTCTCTAGGGCCAAGCAGATGGGGGCATCGCGGCGCCCGGGGCTCCGGATCCTCACGGCTCTGGGCTAATGGGCTGTGGATCCCAGCTATTGATGGCATGGCGGTGGGTGCTTCGTCTCCAAGCGTAAGGGAGGGGCGGCGCTGGCTGTGCCAGCCCCCCCTGCTCGCTCAGGGGAGGAGATCTTATTTCTCAATTACGTGCCCACTGTGAGTCAACCAGCCGGGCCTGCCTGCCTACCCTCTTCCAGCTTCGGCCTGTGGTTGCCCCTCCCTCCACTTAATGGATCGATTTGGTCAGATGCCAAAACTCCAATATCCCCTGAATTTTAAAAAATGTAAAGAGTGGTCCCTGCTTGACTCCCTTCCAGCCCTGAAGACCCCGATGAGAGCCCATCTCTTTGTTCTCAGGGACCCTTCTCTCCCGCGGTCAGAACCTCTTTAGATCATTTCTTTCTGCTTCCCCCCGGGCTTGGGGTTGGCCGTGAACAGTGTTCCCTGGGGCCCGGCCTTATGGTCTCCTTTCTCTCCCTCCGCTCCCGCACCCACCGCCCGTGTGCAGGTGCTGCCCACCAACCCTGAGGAGAGCTGGCAGGTGTACAGCTCCGCCCAGGACAGCGAGGGCAGGTGTATCTGCACCGTGGTCGCCCCCCAGCAGACCATGTGTTCACGGGATGCCCGCACGAAACAGCTGAGGCAGCTGCTGGAGAAGGTGAGTGTGCGCAGGATGCGTGCGTGCCTGTGAGGGTGTGCAAGAGCGTGTGCCCACGCCGACTCCAAGGCGTGGCCAGACGGAAGCCTGTCCCAGTCCACGGCCTCACTCGTTCCTATTGAGGATATCTGTGGATGGATGGATGGATGGATGGAGGGATGGATGGAGGGAGGGATGGAGGGAGGGATAGAGGGAGGGATGGAGGGAGGGATGGAGGGAGGGATGGATGGGTGGATGGATGGATGGGTGGATGGCTGGGTGGCTGGGTGGCTGGGTGGCTGGGTGGCTGGGTGGTGGGTGGATGGATGGAGACTCCCCAAGGGTGGCCCAGGAGGAGACGAATAGCCCTTCCCATCACTGCAGGCTCCACTGAGAAGCTGCAGGGGCCACACCCCCCACACTGTCCCTCCCAGTGACCGGAGGGCTCTGTCTGAGCAGCTTCCTGGGACCCAGGGATGCACGGCCACTTGGGTTTTACCTGAGGGGATGTTTTTCCTGCCTTTGAGGGCTGGACCTGGCCAGGCAGCCCCCACCACGAGGCGTCCCCTCCTCGGAAGCTCTCCTGGTGCAGAAGCAGATTAAATTGTCACCTTTGTAGCCAACCTGGGAGCAGCACTGAGCAGTTCCCATAAACATTTTCAATCCATTATTTCACTTAATCTTCACAAGAACCATGTGAAGTTGATGAGATTTTCCACACTGTTTCGAGAAGTGAAAATTTGGGTCCAGAGAGGGGAGTGACTCATCCCCCAAAAACAGCCGTTAGCCGGTGGGGGGGGGAGGGGCAACGCTCACACTCCGGGTCCAGGCTGCCCACCTGGCCTGGCAGCTCCTGCCCCACCAAGCCGGCTGCTCCCAGAGGCGTGGCCAGCTCGGCCCCTGGCACAGTCCACCCCAAGAACCCTGGCTTCTCGGGGAGCCCAAGGGTCAGGGTCCCCTGGGAGTTACTGAAAGAAGGAGAAATGGGTCCTTCTGTTTCACTCATCCCCCTCCCCCAAGGAGAGGGGACCCTTCACATCCTGAGGGCAGGGTCCCACCACACGTACACAGACACACACCACACACACAAAAACACATGCCTCACATACACACAAATACATACACCACACACACACATAAATACTCACATATACACACACATGCTCACATACACACAGATACTCATATGTACACACACATACTCACACACAGATACTCACATATACACACACATACTCACACACTCACAGATACATATACACACACATACTCACACACACAGATACTCACTTATACACACACATACATACACACAGATACTCACATATACACACACATACTCACACACAGATACTCACATATACACACACATACTCACACACATACTCACACACTCACAGATACTCACATATACACACACATACTCACATACACAGATACTTATACACACACATACTCACATACACACAGATACTCACATATACACACACATACTCACACACAGATACTCACATATACACACACATACTCACACACAGATACTCACATATACACACACATACTCACACACTCACAGATACATATACACACACATACTCACACACAGATACTCACATATACACACACATACTCACACACAGATACTCACATATACACACACATACTCACACACAGATACTCACATATACACACACATACTCACATACACACAGATACTCACATATACACACACAGATACATATACACACACATACACACAGATACTCACATATACACACACATACTCACATACACACAGATCCTCACATATACACACACAGATACTCACATATACACACACATACTCACACACAGATACTCACATATACACACACATACTCATGTACACACAAATACACACACTCACACCATGCACAGATACTCCTACATATTATGCCCATCACACACAATACACACACCTCACATACACACAAATACATATACCACGCACTCACACACACATAGATACTCACATATGCACACATATTACTACCTACATATACCTATACATATACATATACCTACATATTACACACACCACGCACACAATACACACACCTCACATACACACATATACACACACCACACCACTCTCACCCCCACACCCCCACGGCAGTGAAGCCCTGGCTTCTCCCTCAGCTGGGGGACATGAGAAGAGCCGCAGGGGGTGGGCCCTGTGCTGGGTGGCTGGCCATTCCCAGTGCCACCCTGGGGCAGCCCTCCAGGCCGGGGAGGCCACAGCGGCCTGCAGGAGGCTGGCAGCATTGTTTGGTCTGAGCCCAGCTCCCCACAATCCACGGCTCCCCACAAACCCTTGCCAAGCTCCCCACAAACCCTTGCCCAGCTCCTCACAAATCACAGCTCCCCACAAACCCTCGCCTGGCTCCCCACAAACCCTCGCCCGGCTCCCCACAAACCCTCACCCGGCTCCCCACAAACCCTCGCCCGGCTCCCCACAAACCCTCGCCCGGCTCCCCACAAGCCCTCGCCCGGCTCCCCACAAACCCTCACCCGGCTCCCCACAAGCCCTCGCCCGGCTCCCCACAAACCCTCACGTGGCTGCAGGCAGAGCAGGTCCCTTTCTCGGGCCCCAGTTCCCAGATGGTCCCATCACTGGCCATCCGGAGGCCGTGCCAGTGACCTTGCCTCCGAGGGAGGAGGCTGGGGCAGGGTGGAGGCCAGTAGCGGGTGGAGGCCGGCAGCAGCCTGTCCCTGGAGCCTACTCCCCTTCCAGGGACAGAGTGTCCTGTGTTCTTCAGCCACTGAGCAAGTCATTTACAAAGAATGACAGTAATGGGCTTCCAGATCCCTCAAACATTTGTAGCACCCAAGGAGACCAGAGCCTAATTGGGCCTTTAATTATTCAGAAGTGTGGAGGGGAGGTGGAGCTGGGGGGGCCTCCCGGGCTGCCGAGGGCAGGGCCACGGAGACTGGGCCTTCCAGCTCCCGGAAGTGACGGCGAGCCAGCAAGGGTTCCGGAAAGTTCTAGGAGCCTGGGACTGTCGGCCTTGGTCCTCTCCTTTCTGCCTCGTCCCAGGCCGGCGTTGCTGCTGAAAACTGCACAGCCCTGCTTAGACCCTGTGGGCACTGCTTTCGGGGCGGACGCTGTTCGCTTGGGCCCTGCCGCTCCCAGCGTCTTGCGGAAGGGGCAGGGCCCTGGGCCCCTCGCTCCCCTATGGCTCCCTCTTCCCTCCTCTGGGGCGAGGACGGGGGCAGGGGGAGGCTGGACAGGGCAGGGGGTGGCCGGCCCAGTGCTGAGGACCCTGTGCTCTGTCCCTGGGGCGGGGGCACAGCCCGCCTAGGTCCACTCTGCCCATCGGCTTCATGTCCGTCTGCCCGCGAGCGTCTTGTGTTGGGGCTGGGGTCCCACACCCAGAAACTGGTTTCCATTGGCCTGGAGTCTTTGGGGGGTGCCTGGGGTCAGGGTTGAGGACCATGGGACACCCTCAGACGGCAGAAGGTGGATGGAGGGTGGGGCCCTGGCTCTGTGCTCTTTGAAGATGCACTTCAGTCGGTCCTGAGTTTGACTGTCTCAGGGGCCAACGCTGTGTGAGGGCAGACAAGGTTCTTAACGTCTCTGAGCCCTGGTCTCCTCGTGTGTGAGACAGGACTGGTAATAGCGCCCCCACCAGGGTGAGAGGGTGACACGTGCCGAGCTCACGTGCCAGGAACACTGAAACGTTGAGTAAATGTTGGCGGTTAGTTGTCCCCTCATGGCCAGGTGTGCACCTGCCCCACAGGTAAGGAGAGTGGATGCAGCCTGGTCCTCTCCCCGGGGAGGGGTGGGGAGGGGCGCAGCCAGGCCCAGCTGTCTGTGCGGGTGGCAGGGGGCTGGAGAGGGGCGCAGCCTCAGGCCCAGCTGTCTGTGCGGGTGGCAGGGGCTGGGGAGGCGCAGCCAGGCCCAGCTGTCTGTGAGGGTGGCAGGGGGCTGGGGAGGGGCTGGGGAGGCGCAGCCAGGCCCAGCTGTCTGTGCGGGTGGCACTCCCTGGGCCAGGAGGTGATGGGCTTTGTTGTGAGGCAGCTGAGCAGCTCGGCATCATTCAAGTTTGTTTTAAATTTAAAATTTAGTATTGCTTTGGCAAATGAAAAGCCCACTGTGCTGTGTGCAGCCCCTGTTAGACAGCGAGGCCCAAGACACCTCGTCCGCCCGGCAACCTTGGCCTGCAGGACCTTCAGTCCGGAGGGTTAGCCCCTGGGGGCGAGGTCTTGAATGGAACCACCATTTGTGTGCCACACGGCTGCAGGGGGCGCTCCTGTGCTCCAGGTGGCTGAATCCTGGGCTGGGGCCCAGTCCCCCTCCTGTCCAACAAGGTGGTTGAGACAGGAGGGCCGGCTGCTGTGCAGGCCTTGTGCCATCAGGTGATGTTTCCAAGTCGTGTGCAGCCACTTCAGCTTAGCTCATCAGGGAGGCCTCCCTGGAGGAGGTGCCATTTGGGCTGGGCCTTGAAAGGCGAAGGAAACCAAACATTGCAACTTTTCTCAGAAGAGGTTCTGCAGTTATTCAGTGACAGAATAAGCCAGGTGAGGGGACAGGGAGACCTTAGGTGATAGAGCCTTTGTATTTTAGTTCCCGTAAAAAGTCTAAAGAGAAAGGATCGGGGAGAGACCAAGTCACCCACATGTATTCCACAAACCGGAATTTTTCCGTCATCATGTCATAAAATCCCCAGCATTTTTAAATGCCGAGGTTAACAATGCCCGTTTTCTGCTCCCGAGAATCCTTTTGCTGGTTTTATTTTATTTTATTTTCATTTTTATTGAGGGGGGTGCAGTAAGGATGGAAACCACCCCGCACTCTCTCTCTCTTTTTTTTTTAAATTTTTTTTTATCCTCACCCGAGGACATTTTTCCATTTTTTGTTCAGGTAGAGTGGGAGGGAGAGAGAAGAGAGAGAGAAACATCGACGTGAAAGGGACACATCGAGTGGCTGCCACCCGCACAACAAACCAGGGCCGGGGACAAACTGCAACCGAGGTACATGCCCTTAGCGGGAACCGAACCCCGGTCTCTCTGGACCGCAGGCCGACGCTCTAACCGCTGAGCCAAACCGGCCAGGGCTGCTCTCTTTTTTTCTCATGAACCAAGTGAAACGGAGCCTCATACCAAACGAGTTTGTTCCCCAAAGGGAGAGGATTTTCCAAATCGGCCGAAAGTCGGAGACGGCCGGCCGTGCAGTTGTGGAGGTCCCTCGTCCCCGCGGCCGGATTCCCTTCTGAGCAAGGGCTCTGGCCCCTGTGCGACAGTCCCCAGCCCCGCGTGCCGCCGCCCCGGTGCCTTTGCACAGAACCGCAGGCTGGTTTCCTGAAAACCACCGGCTCTGGCTACGCTAAAACTGGTTTCTTTGAAGCTCCCTGAAACCCTGTTGAATATTCAAGTTCCATCTTGAGGCGAGACTCAGTTCAGACCTTTCTGGAAGGGTGTAAAACAGCGGTTCTTCATTTGCTGGGTGATTGGTTCCCGGCGCTGGGCGCTGAGTGTACATGTTTGCAGAGCAGTCATGTACCTGTGATGTTGTTGGGTGTGATGGATGGCCTGGAGGGGGGGCGGGGGGCAGTCCTGTTCCCTCCTTCCACACATGCATGCAACCTTCCCGGCCGGGTACCCAGAGGCATTTAGGGGGCTACTGAAGCTGTTCCTGGGCTAGGGGGAGCCCCACAATGCTGTTCCTCTTCGTGGGTGCTTATGTCTGCCTAACTGATTTCATCCTGCAGAATAAGGAGAGTGGGAACCACTCCCCAAAAGCAGGGGAACATGCACCCAAAGCCGTGGGTGTGTCTGGGAGGGCCCGGGGCTCCTGGGCTGCTTTGCAGCCTGGCTGTGGGCGCAGGCTCTGGACGGTGGCAGAGGGACATGACCAGCCCAGTCTGCTGCCCTTGGGTGAGCTCGCCCCGACGAGCTCAGCACTGGGGTTAGCTGGTAAATAACGCATCGGCTGTCCCGCTCCCCGCGGGTGGGCCCTGGGGAAAGGTCACTGTGAGTATCAGGAGGCGAGAAGATGGGCCTGGGCCGGCATCTGCCACAGCTCCTTCCTTCAGCCTGTTGCCTCTCGGCAGGTGCAAAACATGTCCCAGTCCATAGAGGTCCTGGACCGGCGGACCCAGAGGGACTTGCAGTACGTGGAGAAGATGGAGAACCAGATGAAAGGGCTGGAGTCCAAGTTCAAGCAGGTGGAGGAGAGTCATAAGCAGCACCTGGCCAGGCAGTTCAAGGTATGTGTGCTCCTCCTCCTGCGAGACTGGGTTTGCTTCCTTCCCCGTGTCCCCTTCCCTCCAGAAGTAGTGATTGTGGTTGGGGGAGGGGCGGGGGAGCCCAGCCAGCTTGCTCTTTGCTGTCCTTGGGATCAGAGGCAACCTGCTCTCGTCCTGAAAGGGGGGGGGGGGGGCCTGGGCTGCAGTGCCCAGCACCTATTTGCTTCTGAGGCCAGGGGTCCCTGGGGCCCAGGTCCCTGCCCTCCCACAGCTGCCGCAGGGACATTAGCCGAGGACTAGGTGCATTGATAGGAGCCATTTCTGAGCAGGGTGGTTCTCACATCTGACCTAATTTAGCTATGACATGGCTCGCTGTAGAGTCACAGGGAAGAGAGACACCAACATCTTTCTCACTTTGTGGTAAGTGTTCCTTTTCTCCCGGTAACTCTGGACCTACAATTATATATACATACGTACGAATATGTATATATACGTCTGGAGTTAACGCAGCTTCAAAACTATTAGCTGAGAAATTATATGCACCTGAATTAAGGTCTACATGCGTGTTAAGTAGAACTCCAGCCCCGATGTGAATGAACAGGTCAGTTACACAGCCCCACGCGAGGAAAATTGCTGACACCGCCGCCCTGAACTTCCAATGCTAACGTCTGCCTTTGATGTGCTTCTGCGTGAAGCCAGCACGAATTCACTTTGAAAGGCGATGCGTTCTGTAGCCGAAACGGCACGTTAATTTGTATAATGTATGCTATACACATCTATAGTGCACATAAAACGACAGCAGGCCGGAGCCCATGGAGGAGAAATGAGCGGCCACTCTGGTCAGAGGCAGTGGACATACTGTCCTTGCTTCTGACGGGGCCTCATGAATTCTCCTGGAAAGAGATTTTGACCTGCCTGACCATAAAGAGTTTGTGTCTCTCCTTGAAAGCCAGCAGCACCCCCTTCTCTGGGGTTAGAGGGAGCTTCCCCTAAAGGTGAAGGGACTTCAGCAGTCAGGGCCACCTCCACATTGCAGGGCACTGTCCACACAGCCACCTCCCCCAGTCCCCACGCCCGGGGCGCTGTGGCTCCGGGCGAGAAAAAGCAACGCTTGCTTTTGAACCATGCTTTAATTGCATTCCGAATGTCAACAAGTCGTGGCGAGGGAATTTCTATAACTGTCAAAGCAGTTTGTTTGGACTAAGTGTAGCACGAAGTGTGATTTTTTTTTTTTTTTTTAAGTGACCATGAAAATACTTGTCTGTGAGTGGCTATGTGTTTAAGGCCGGCCAGCGAGGTAGCTCTTCACCGGTATTTCATTTTCTTGCTTGCAGGGCTAACTTAAAAGCGTTTTTTCAATGCCGCAGTGACTGAAGAAGCATGTAACCATGCAACCATGAGAGCGGGCCAGACAGCTTTTTTGCACCCTGCATTTTTACTATTATTTTCCAATACTTAGCACCATGTCACTAAGGAACCTTGACTCCAACCACGATCTCTTTTGCATGCGACCGTAGGTGCATTTCATGAATACTTTGAACCCTTGTCAATGCATTTTTTGAAAAAGAAAAAAAGAAAAAAAAAAAAAGAAAGAAAGAAACTTTGTGTATGTGACTTAAAGCATGTAACCTTAAGATGTTGCATCCTACCTGACAATAAAGACCTTTCCCAAAGATGATGGTGTTCTGAAGACTGTTTAATATGCTCCTTCTAACTCTTTTGGACCAGATGATAAATAAGCCTGTAACTAGAGGGAGTGTGCTCACCTCCCTGGCCGAGGGAGAAGCCAGGCGGAGACAGGGTGTGGCAAGTTTTTGCACGCATCGCACTGAACCCAGCTTATTTTAACCTTGCAGGCGATAAAAGCGAAAATGGATGAACTTAGGCCTTTGATACCTGTGTTGGAAGAGTACAAGGCCGATGCCAAATTGGTTTTGCAGTTTAAAGAGGAGGTCCAGAATCTGACGTCAGTGCTTAACGAGCTGCAAGAGGAAATTGGCGCCTATGACTACGATGAACTCCAGAGCAGAGTGTCCAATCTTGAGGAGAGGCTCCGTGCGTGCATGCAAAAGCTAGGTAGGCCCAGCGCCTGCGGGGCGGGGCGTGGCGCGGCCCCGCCCACCGCGGCTCCCGCTGGCTCGGGGCGTGGTGCTGGAGTGGACAGCGCCGCCTGGCTTCCGGAGCCAGGCCCGGCTAAGGCGCCCGGGCAGGGCCACGGGACAGAGCAGAGGCTGCAGGCTGCGCCCCTGTCAATGCAGGGTCCCACCCTGCGCAGAGGCCGGCTCACAGACCCCTCTGAGCTGCACAGCTGGACAAAACAGGATGATGTCAGATGTCACCAACCATCTGAAGAGTGTGTGCGTGTGGGTGTTGGGATGAGTTCTTAGGACACTCGTTGCTTAGGGCTGGGAACGGACATCTCGGGTTCCCTCCAGGGTGAGAACAGGCTGAGGGGGCTCCTCAGATCCCGCGCCGGGCACAGGGGAGCAAACCCAGGCACACCGCAGCGGAAGACACCCCTGCTCCCTCCGTCTTTTCTCCAAGGGTGACCCCTCAGTTCTTACCCATGATTGAGCACCCACGAGCCCATTAACCTTCCCGTTCGTTGCTTTAACAAATCTTAGTGCCTCAGTCCACTTTTATTTATTAACTCATTAATTTATTGATTTTGATCCTCACCTGAGGATATTTTTCTATTTATCTTCAGATAGAGTGGAATAGAGGGGGAGAGAGAGAGAAACATCAATGCGAGAGAGACACATCGACTGGTTGCCTCCCGCACGACCCCGACCAGGGCCAGGGACAAACTGCAACCAAGGTACATGCCCTTGACTGGAACAGAACCCGCAACTCTTTGGTCCGCAGGTCGACGCACTAACCGCTGAGCCAAACCGGCCAGGGAAGAGTCCACTTTTAAATAGCACACTTTCAGTCCCTCTTCCGTTTTTAGGCATTCTACGTAAAGATTAGCTGGCCCTTCTCATCACAGGTTTTAAAGCAAAGGTTGCTCATCTCAGAGTGTATTTCTTTTTTTAAAATAAGAGTCTCTCTTACTTTTTTTTCTTTATTGATTTGAGAGAGAGAGGAGCGGTGAGGGAATGAAAGATAGAGACATTGATGAGTGAGACCATTGATTGACCGCCTCCTGCACGCCCCCCGCTGGGGATCGGGCCCACAACCTGGGCAGGTGCCCTGACTGGGAATCGAACCGGCGACCTCCTGGTGCAGGGCCGACGCTCAACCACCGAGTCACACTGGCCGGGCTCAGAGCGTATTTCTTAGAGTGACTCAGAGTACTTTTGCTTTCTGAAGATGCTATCCTTTGGTGTTATCTGATGTTCTAACTTAGTTCCCTTTTTATTCACTCCCCTGCCACACACACACGCCAAGTACCTTATTATAAACTTAAAACATCCCCAAAGGATAAATTCCAGCGCTGTTGTCAGCGAAAGAGACGGGAGACACTCGGCGCAAGGAAATCAAGATCACCAGCCTTCTGTCCGAGCGGGCGCCTGCGCACAGGGTCTTTTTAGAGCTGTTCCGGGTGCCCGGCGAAGGCACACGCTGCTCCGTCCCCTGGTCCTCAGAGGGGCTGGCGTGGAGAACGAGGGCGTGGGGGCCGGCGCGCTCTGGCGGTGTCTCGGGGGTGCGTGCGTGCTGCGTGTGTCCGCCGACCCCTCCGTGGCGCCCGTCCCGGTGCGTCGGGCTGGGTGACCTGGACCTTCCCCGCAGGGGTCTGGGACGGCAGCCTCTACCAGCGGGTGCGTGTCGACGTTCCAGGACTGCGTGTGGTGACTGAAATGTCGGTGGTTATGGGCCATGTTAATGACAACGGGGCTCTGGGATTATTTCCATTGGGCAAGGCCTTTGGGTTTCTGCCCATAATGACCCCAGATTACTGTCACCGCTCTCTCTCCGGACCGCCAGACCCTCCACTGGGGGGTCTCTCTTGATCTCTGAAGAATCCAAAGTGGGGGGGGGGGTGTTTTTTGCCCCAAAAGCAGTTTCTGTAGACCAGGGAGACACCCACATTTTTCAGTGAACAAATCAAGGAGCAGAAGGGAAATCCAGAGAGAAACAGGACAAACGGCGAGACGCCGAGGGCCTTGAGGAGGGCTTGCCCGCCAGACCAGCAGTCTTCCGCCTGGGCCAGCCTGGTTTCAGAAGCCGGATGGGTCTGCCGTTCGGCCTGGGATCTGGGTGTTGCCTGGCTACCCTCGCGCTGCCGACGGCCACCGGGGAGTGCAGGGGACGCCTGGGCCCTCAGAGGCCGCCCCGTCCTCGCTGGAGGCAGCCACGTGGTTTCGCCTCTGGTTTCGTTCTTTCTCCGGAAGACCTCACCGTGTAGGTAGACCCCTGAGTCAGGGTCTGCAGGTGGGGCCCAGGCGTCTGCCCTGAACAGCACCAGGCGATTCGGAAGAAGCAAGTCGTGAGACTCCTCTCGGGGAGGCAGGGGTCACTGATAGCTGCGTGACTCTCCCAAGGCGTTGGCCAGCTTGGGCTCAGCCTCCTTCGTCTGCACGGCGAGGTGGAGGAGTCCCTGTGCCCTGGGTTACAGTGCGAGTCCGAGGATGTCGTTTACATCACGTGCTCCTCACTGTGCCCGGCGCAGAGGAGGTGGTGGGAGGACAGGTTGGTAGGAAGGTAGAGATAGATAGACAGATACATAGATACATAGACACATGCATAGATACATAGACACATACATAGATACATAGACACATACATAGATACATAGATACATAGACACATACATAGATACATAGATAGATACATAGATAGATACATATGTAGATACATAGATACATATGTAGATACATAGATACATACGTAGGTACATAGATACATACATAGATACACAGATACATACATAGATACATACGTAGATACATAGATACATACGTAGACACATATGTAGATACATAGATAGATACATAGATAAATGATAGACATACAATAGATAGATTTTAAAAAGACAGGCGATAGATGATTCTGAGATAGATAGATGATAGACCGATGATAGACAGACTGGTAGATTGCAGACAGACAGATGATGGAGAGACAGGCTGATGGACGGACAGATGACGGAGAGACAGACTGATAGGTTTAGCAGCTGCTGTTTCTTCCTCTTCCTTGGTCTCTGTCCAAGCTCAGGAACTTAAGGACCCAGTTCCTATCCTGTGGTGGCTTAATTTAGTCTTTATTTTAGCCTGGGGAGCAGCACCGTCTCAGCAGCCTTTTCCCTGCGTGGAGGTTGCCGCGGACGACGAGCATAGAACAGGGGAAAGCAGTCCTCTGCGTGGAGCCAGCTGTCCTGAGTGGCGGGACATGGGTCTCGGTGGCCGCCCTCCCTTCCCCGTCCTCTGCTCCTTGGTTCCTGGGGGTGTAGTCTGATGGCCCCTCGTCCAGTGACAGGGTGTGCGTCCCCGAGCTCAGCCTCCCCAGGAGGCACCTGCGACGGCTGCCTGAGCCTCCCCTCCCCCACGCACCCCCACGCACCCTGACACGCGTGATGACAGAGGGACACTTTCATGAGCTCAGTGTGCCAACACCGCGCCTGGGGCCCTGCTCTGCCGCGGGGCTGTTGTAGATCCTGTCAGCTCCCGAGGTCTTGGCAGAGCCAGGATGGAGAACCAAAAATAACTCCTGACTCAGGCAGGGCGGCCTCCGGCCCAGGCCCAGAGCGCGGAGCCGCGCCAGCCGTGTGCCGAGAGGCCCCGGGCAGCTGGACCCTTCCCGCCTGCCCCCCTATCGCCGGCCAGGGCTCCTGCGGGTTGGGAGTGGGGGACGGAGGGGACCCCGGTGGGGGCTGAGTGGGTGGCACTGCTGTGGGTCACGCCTGGACCTGTGGCCTGTTCCCCGAAGCGGCTGGCTCCCCTTCCAGCAGCCACAAGCGGGAAGGTCCTCCACGGGCAGGTCGCACTGCGACAGTCCATGGTGGTCCCCGATCTGGGCTTGGCTGAGGTGAACCCCGTTCTGTCCCCGTCTCGGTCCGGACCCACAGTGATGATACTAGTCGGCCTCCAGCAGGCTCCCCCTGGGTCAGGGGCTGCTGGAAGCCTCCTGGCTCCTCCTGCCACCGGCTCCGACGCGGGTGCGTCGCCGTGGACAAGGACCGTCTCTGCGCCACACCCCGCCGCCCCTCTCCCGGGAAGGACGGTGAAGCAATAGACTGGCAAGAGGTTTTGAGAGGCGAATAATGTCACCTCTGAGTACCTGAGCGACGAGAGTCTCTCGCTGCTCCGGACCATGCCCGGGCCGGTCTGGGGAGACAGCCAGCTCCTTGCCTGTGGCAGGGGGACCCAGACAACCTGCCTGTGCCCCAGGGACATGTGGCCACCAGCACAGGTCGGTGAGGACGGAGGTGGGCCCAGAGGGAGAGGTCTCCAGAAGAGGCGTCAGTGAGGGTCCAGCCCCAAAGCCGAGTAGGTGAGGGGTGGCGTTGCCGGTGGAGGAACGGCGGGTGCACAGGTGTGGGGTAGAGGACGGGCCTTGTCCGCCTTCCGAGTGCGATTCGGTGGACAGAGGTCTCCCGTGGCCCGGCCCAGAGGAAAGGGACAGACAGCGCCCATCCCCACGGCGAAGCCACCCGCCTCCCCCTGGGGGAGTTCACTCCTAGGGCTCAGGAGCACGCTGCCCAGGAGGTGGGCTGAGGTTCCCTCCCTCTGCCCGGGTGCTCTGTGTGGCGGTGCCAGGCCCTCAGGCTGTGGGCAGGGCAGGGGCGGGGCCACGAGGGCTGGGTCCCAGCCTCAGCAGTGCCCCTGTGGCAGTGTGGCCCTAAGAATGTCCCACCTGTGAGAGGGGAGGGCCCCGAGGTCACCTCCAAGGTTCGGGCCTCCCGGATGCCCTTGACCTGTCAACGCCCCCAGAGCCCCAGCTCTCCGGCCCCCGACTCCTCCAGCTCACCACCCTCCCGGAGAGCTGGCAGGTGGTGTGAGGACGGCGGGGTCCCCTGCGGAAGGGGCCAGAGTGGGACCTGCAGGAGAGCCCTGTTCTCGCCTCGCGGACAGTCCTGGCTCAGTGTTCAGGAGCCTCACACCTGCCAGCAGTGGCCGGCGGGTCCGGGGGTCTCTCCAGCTGCCCTGGGCGGCCAACAGCCGCCACCCCCATTTCCGAGGGGAGGACACCGAGTCCCGGCAGGGTGACCACGTCCCTCCACAGGTGTCCCCCCACAAGGCAGCCGCCACTGCCCTCCCCTGCGACTCAGGCCTCGGTTGCTGTCTGTTCCAGGGAGGGCTGGCTTCTCTGGCCCCTGGCGCTGGGGTGTCCCCTGGAAGAGCTGCGCCGGAGCCCCCTCTAGCAGCGATCCCAGACCAGGGGTGCAGAGGGGACCCTGCGTCCTCCACAGGGGGCAGTCGGGTCCGCCGAGACTCACCCCTGTGCTCTGTCTCTCTTCTAGCCTGCGGCAAGCTGACGGGCATAAGTGACCCCGTGACCATCAAGACTTCCGGCTCGAGGTTCGGGTCCTGGATGACAGACCCTCTGGCCCCAGAAGGTGACAACAGGGTAAGCGCCCCCGTCGGGCCTGCGTCTGGGGGCCACTGGGACAAGGGTGCCCTTGTCCGGCCCGGTGGTCTCCAGCCCCAAGCACTTGATGCCAATGTGCCCACCCAGCCGGCGAAGCAAGCCAGGGCCTGTGGGCTGAGCGGACCCCGGTGCCCCGGGGGGTGCCACAGGCCAAGGGCCGAGGTGCGGGTGCTGGGGCCGGAGGCGGCAGCGGCCCAGGCACGGCCCTCCCCAGCGCGGGCCCCTGGGCCGGTGGGGGCCGGAGTCTGAAACCCGCCAGACTTCCCACGCCGCCTCGCCCCAGGAGGACAGTCCAGGGAGGCCTTTCTTGTTTTAATGACATCTCATTTGTATTTCATTTGCAATTCCTTTCATGGTCGATGGAAACCCGTGTTTCTTTTGATTTAAGAAAGAGGCTGGTTCTTTTTTCTAGACATCCCCCCACACAGGGGTAAGACTCAGAAAAGAGGGAGAACTAGGCGCCGTGGTCTCCGTGATGGGTGTGGGTCCTGTGGGAGGTGGGGAGAGGAGGACCAGCCGCTGCGAGCCGGGGGCGCCCGGCCCGGGGGGCCACGGGGCGCTGGGACCTTCTGGAGCCTTCCTCTCGGGGGAGAGAGAAGCGGGGTTTCGCGGTCCCTGGGTGTCCGCGGTCTGAGCACCGTCACAGCCTCCGGGAGTGTGGGCCAGCCCTCCGTCCTTCAGCCGCTCGTGGGCACGAGAAAATAAACACTTAAAAAAAACTCAGCTCCGCCCTGGCCGGTGTGGTTCAGCGGTTAGAGCGTCGGCCCGAGGACCAATGAGTCCCGGGTTCGACTCCGGTCAAGGGCACGGACCTGGGTTGCGGTTCGTCCCCGGTCCCGGTCAGGTCGTGCGGGAGGCAGCCAGTCGGTGTGTCCCTCTCACATCGATGTCTCCCTCCCTCCCTCCCTCCTTCTCTATCTGAAAACAAATGGAAAAATGTCCTCGGGTGAGAATTTAAAAAAATAATTTAGAAAATAATTTTAAATAAATTAAAAAAAAAAGCTCAGCTCCCCCTCTGGACCTGATGAGAAAGGGGCTGAGACATCTGAGGTCCTCGGAGCACGTCTGGAGGGTGGACGGGTCGCGGTCGCTCTCCCGGGATTGGCAGCCACCTGGGAGGACGGAAGTGGGCGCGAGGACCCGCGGGCTTCTGGGAGGACGGAAGTGGGCGCGAGGACCCGCGGGCTTCTGGGAGGACGGAAGTGGGCGCGAGGACCCGCGGGCTTCTGGGAGGACGGATGTGGGCGCGAGGACCCGCGGGCTTCCGGGAGGACGGATGTGGGCGCAACGACCCGCGGGCTTCTGGGAGGACGGAAGTGGACGCAAGGACCCGCGGGCTTCTGGGAGGACGGATGTGGACGCGAGGACCCGCGGGCTTCTGGGAGGACGGATGTGGGCGCGAGGACCCGCGGGCTTCTGGGAGGACGGATGTGGACGCACGGACCCGCGGGCTTCTGGGAGGACGGATGTGGGCGCGAGGACCCGCGGGCTTCTGGGAGGACGGAAGTGGGCGCGAGGACCCGCGGGCTCCTGGGAGGACGGATGTGGGCGCGAGGACCCGCGGGCTCCTGGGAGGACGGATGTGGGCGCGAGGACCCGCGGGCTTCTGGGAGGACGGATGTGGGCGCAACGACCCGCGGGCTTCTGGGAGGACGGATGTGGGCGCAACGACCCGCGGGCTTCTGGGAGGACGGAAGTGGACGCGAGGACCCGCGGGCTTCTGGGAGGACGGATGTGGACGCGAGGACCCGCGGGCTTCTGGGAGGACGGAAGTGGACGCGAGGACCCGCGGGCTTCTGGGAGCCTGTGATCGTGTCTCTACCCACAGCCTCGGTGCGAGGAGACCCCGCGGCCCCCGAGCAGGGGAGCAGCGTCTTCCTAGGCACTGTCCCAGGGCTGCCGAGGGACTTCTCGAGGGGCTGGCGGCGTCCTGCGACCCCGGATGTGATGGGGACCCGCTGTTTGGGGGGGAGGTTGTTCTTCCTTTATTTTCTGCGTCCTGACAGCTCACACATGTTCTCACCATTTAATTGGCTTGTTTCTCCGGCTGTTCCTTTGCCCACCTGGGGCCCCGCCTCTGTTCCGCGTGGTCAGGGAGGTGCTCTTGCCCAAGACGCTGGCGAGGGGAGCAGGTGCAGGCGATGCCCGCGGACCTCGGGGAGCCGCTGGCCTGTGGTCTCAGCATCACACGTCTTTTCGGGCACTGAGGTTCCCAGCTGAGTCTCCTGATGCCGCCCCCTACAGTCTCCTTCTCCCCACCCGGCCCCCCGCACACGGCCCACCAGCCCAGGCAGACCCGGTGGGATCCGGCAGCCGGAACCCGTGACCTCGGCGCCGCAGAGACGGAACCACGTCCTGACCCCGAAGACATGCCTCTGGGCCCCGCTTTGGCTCAGGATACTCGGTGATCTCGGCCCCGACACCAGGGACCGGGCTCCGGGGGCCGCTCTTGGCCCCCACCCGCCAGGGCGCGGATCTGCGGAGCCGTCCAGGCGGGATGGATGCTTCTGATCATTAGACATCTGTTTTCTGCTTGATGACCTGCTCGTGCTCCAGGACGGGCCTGGCGATGGACGGAGCAGGGAGCTGTCGGGGAGCAGGGCGCCGGGCCGCTCGGCGCTGGGGCGGTCGGCCAGCCCCGCTCAGGCCGTTGGGAGCGTGAGCTCGGTGTGGTGGCCTCCAGCTCCCAGCTGCTAAGTGAGTGACACGTCCGCAGGCCCTGCCATTGATCTGGGAGAGACTTTCCTGTTTGATCTTTTTTATCCTCCCGTCCAGTTTTGATCGCACACACACAGGAGACCAATAACTCGCTCCGGGAACAACGCCGCGCAGGCTGCCCGGAGGGAGGGCGGGGTGGGGGTGTGGCCAGGGGCTGAGGGCCAGGGTGCCCAGGGACCCGGTGGGCCCACCTAAGCTAGGGGGGCTGCCAGGACCCGCCGCCTTCTGGGTGCCGCGGGATAGACCAGGGTCCACCAGGGATGCCAGGGCACCCGAGCTCCCGTCACTCACTCACTAAGCACCATGTTCCACGCGCTGTCCGGGGCTCTGGTGCTCCTGCACCTGGGCCAGAAGATGCCTTCTCTCAGCGGTGACCTGCCCCTCACATGCGTCTGTGGGCACCGGGGCCCGGAGTTCCCCCCGTGCCAGGCTGTCGTCCCCTGACCCCCGCCAGGCTGTGCATCTCCCACGGGAGACGCATTCGCTCCGGGCACCTGCTGCCCAGCGCTGAGGCCGTAGCTCTGACTGTGGCACCTTCTGGATCCAGCGCCCCTCCCCCGTCGGTCTGCTTCTGCGGAGGAGCCAGCCCCACCCATCAGCCAGGGGCCCCGCTTCCCTCGGCACCCCAGGAGGGGCTGGATCGGAAACCTTCACTGACACACTGTCCGTGTACAGACAGCAGGTGTGAAAAGTCCTCCCTGTCCCTCAACAGGGTCCGGGCCACCGGGCACGTGGGAGGGGCTCGTGGAAGCCCTTTCCCTGAAGGGCAGGTGATCTGCAAGGTGCAGCCACGTGCTCAGTGTGGCCAGTGGTCCCCCCGGAGCAGCACAGCGAGGTCTCGATCGGCACGCCCCTGCTCTCGTCTCTGTGGGCGCAGGGCGGGCTGGGGGCCGCTCCTTCCAGCTCTGCTGTCCCAGAGGCCTCTGCTCTCCTCCCCCTCAGCTATCAGCCCCTGTGAGCGGCCTCCCCTGCTGCCCAGGAGCCTCCGTGTCGGCCGGAAGACACGCGGCAGATGCCTGACCAGCTAAGGGGCCGTGCACCCTCGGCCAGGTCACTGAGCGAGACCCCCGCATCCTGTCGCCCCCGCCCCCCTCCCCGGCCCGGCTGACGTGTTTGGACCGTGGTGCCTGCTCAGCCCTGCGCTGCCTTAACCGAGGGGCCCTCCTGCCCTCTTCACTGGGAAACAGATGAAAGTAACAGGGACAGTCAGGACAGTCCGCGTTCTCTGTGCACTGGACCGTGCGGGTGGGGCAGGACTGGTTTCTAACAGGGAGGTGACGTCGGGTGTTTGATGGTCTGAGCCTCTTGGCTTTGCCTGCTCGGTGTGGTGTTTACAAATGGATGAATCAGCAGGTTGTTTTGTTTTATCTGTTGGCACAGGGAGCCTGTGGGTGGGCAGGAGGTGGGCAGGCAGGTGCAGGAGCAGACCACGGCTCCAGACTGACCGAAGGGGCCCTGCACAGAGGCAGCCCAACCCCCGCCACCGGGGGTGCAGGTGGACTGAGGCTGAAGTTGGGAAGAGGGACCATCTTGCCAAAGACCCCAAGGGATGTGGCCCATTGCCCTTCCCTTGGCTGGACCGTCACGGGGCCTGGGTCCGAGTCCTGGCTTCATCCCGGGTCAGCCACGACCCTGCCCCTCTGACTGGTGGGGAGACGCTGTGGACCTGGCCGAGCTGTTGGGTCACATCAGATGGATTTCACCTGTGGGCATGTGACCACTGCGGAGCACAGAGGTTTCAGAACCACTCAGACCTGGGTCTGGACGCCCTGCTGCCCCGATTGGCTGTCTGAGCCTTGGACACTCAACCTGTGTGTGCTCAGGGCCACAGTCAGACCGTCACGGATGGGGGTGAGCCCGTGTCGACGCGTGCTGGCAAGTGAGGCTGCGCATGATGCGTGTCCAGGGCCAGGCACACGGCTTGAGTGACCTGTCCGAGCGGCCACAGTGACTGCTATAAAGCGGGTTTCAGCCCATAGCCTGCAGGCGGCTGCGGAGGCCCCGTCAGCCGAGAGGCATCGGGGGCTCCGAAGGGCCCTTTTCCCCTTGGGCTCCCCAGCTTCTCCCCCAGGGCATGTTCTCAGCTCTCCCTCTGCTTCTGGGACCCCGTCCTTCAAGCAGGAGGGTTGTGCGTGGAGCTGTGGCCAGCGCAGATGCGGCCCCAGGGCACGAGGGCCGGGGGCAGGGCTGATCCCGCACCTGGGCACAGGTGTGCGGAGCTGGCTGGCTGACGGATTGGCAGCCTTCGCGGGGACAGCTGCCCGAGCCATCCTGTGGGTGGTCAAGTCTGGGACCCAGTGGCTGGGCAGGGTCCCCGTCTCCGTCCACCGTGCTCGTGATGGGACCTGCTTTGTGCCACCAGTCCGGCCCGTCAGAGGGCAGCGGCGGGACCGGGAGGAAGTGGCCCCGCCCAAACAGGCCACGATGTGCCATGTGCCAGGCATGGAGGGGGGCCTGTGACCCCGGGAGAGACCCTCCACCAGTCTCGGCCTCTCTGAACTGGGGATTTGGAAGAGGTGGTCACAGGGACCCCAGCCCTTCCCTGGCCTCTGGGATCCCATGGGGCACAGGCATGACCTCAGTGCTGCTGCCGCCCTGGGCCAGTCCGAGGCTGAGCTCGCCACGCTCCTGACTTTCAGAGGAGCTGGTCCCCCACCCACGTTCCCACAGACCGCGAAGCCTCCTGTCCCCCCCCACCCCCACCCCGGGCATGGGCCTGGAGCCCCGGCAGGCTCGCTCCGTCCTGGGCTCCCGGAATGATGACGGCTGGCCTTCCTGGACGGTAGCACGGGTCAGTTCTGGTGGGACCCGTTCCACAGCCCAGTGAGGCACGGGGAGGGGCTCCCGGCAGGTGAGACTCGAAGGCGGGCGGCGGCCAGCACCTGGCACAGCCGAGGCCCCTGTGAAGACAGACAAGTGCCCAGGTGTCTGGACACCCCGGTTCCACTCCGGCCTTTCCCTGGGTGACCCTGGGTCCTGAAGGACAGGACGGGGGGCCTGCCAGGGAGCAGAGGTGCTGCTTTGGGGCCGCCTCCCACCCAGAACAGCAGGGGCTGCCCGGACCCCACTGGCTGCCAAATGCCCAAATGCCTGGCTGAGAGGCCCTGCCCCCCGCTCTGCCCGGCTCCTCTGGTCTCCAGCCGGGAGCTGGGCCCCCAGACTGCTGCAGGGGCCAGAGCAGCTGGACCCCAGGCCACCCGCACACTCCGAGGCTCAGCCTTGCTGGACACTGGCCTGGGGTGCGGGCTGGGGACCAGGAAGAGTCGCTGCGTCTGTGCACTGGGCAGCCCCGAGCTGGGCCCTGGCGGGGACGCGGGGAGACGGTCTGGCCTCCCACACTCGCTACCCGGCCGCAGAACTGGTTTCCCAGCTCGTCCACGCCGATCTGTCAGATTTATTTATTTATTTATTTATTTATTTATTTATTTATTTTATTTTGTTATTATTTTTTTATCCTCACCTGAGGACATTTTTCCATTTTTTGTTCAGATAGAGTGGGAGGAAGAGAGAGGAAGAGAGAGAGAGAGAGAAACATCGACGTGAAAGGGGCACATCAAGTGGCTGCCACCCGCACGACCAACCAGGGCCGGGGACAAACTGCAACCGAGGTACGTGCCCTTAGCGGGAACCGAACCTGGGTCTCTCTGGACCACAGGCCGACGCTCTAACCGCTGAGCCAAACCGGCCAGGGCTATTTTTTTAAATTTTATTTTAAAGGGAGAAGGAGAGGGAGTTAGAAACATCGACAAGAGAGGACATCGATGGGCCGCCTCCTGCATGCCCCCCTCTTGGGGTTCGGCCCACAACCTGGTCATGTGCCCTGACTGGGAATCGAACCGGTGACCTCTTGGTGCAGGGTCGACGCTCAACCACTGAGCCACACCGGCCGGGGGAATCTGTCAGATTTTATAACCCTGGTGCCAGGGCCACGACTCAAACCGAGGACATGAGGGTGGGGGGCGAGGCCAGGCACAGGGCTCTCTACGCTCCTCAGGGGCCGTGAGCAGGCCGAGAGCACCTGCCAAGGTCCAGGGTGAGCAGCTCAGCTCCCAGCCAGAGTGTCCAGCCCTGCGAGTTAGAATCACCCAGAAGCTGGAGCCGGACACTGATGCCCCCCGCCTCCCCCCGAGAACCCATGTACTTGTTCTGGGGTGAAGACTCCTGGGGGACTCGGGCACAGCAGGTGGACAGGTGGCCGGGGAGGCGCCTGGAGGTGACAGGGTTCCATCTGCGCTTGGGACCTGGCCAGGAGGGGAAGCAGGAGGCGTCTCAGAGGACGAGGTCGGAGCCCACACACCCCGAGGAGGGGCCCCGATCCCAGACCCTGGGCTCCCGACTTGCCTCTGTGGCTTCTCATTGGTGGCGGAGCCGCCAGGCCAGCCACTGGTTGTGAAACATTTAGCACCTGGACTGATTTTTTGTGCCACCCCCCAAACTGCAGTTTTCAGAAGTGTGCCCCCCCCGTGTTCAGTCTGCCAGTTAACAGGAGGAAAAGGCAGTTTAAAAATCCAGTAACTGGCCCCGCAGGTGTGGCTCAGTGGTTGAGCGTCGACCCTGCACCAAGAGGTCACTGGTTCGACTCCCGGTCAGGGCACATGCCCGGGTTGTGGGCCTGATCCCCACAGGGGGACATGCAGGAGGCAGCAGTCGATGCTCTCTCTCATCGATGTTTCCATCTCTCTCTCCCTTTCCCTCTAAAAAAATCAATAAAAAATAAGTTTAAAAAACCCAGTAATTTAATGCCAGTTTTGCCCAGTTCTGCGCACAGGAGGGAGGCCTGGAGGCCTGGCCTAGGGTACAGGGACACACCCGGCCCTCTGCCAGAGGCCCAGTGGGGGGGCAGCGTTCACACACATTTGCAAGTGCTCACCCCCGAGTCGGGAGGGGCAGGCCGGGAAACACTGAGCTGTCTTGAAAGAAGCGGTGAGCCCCCATCTCGGGACAACCGAGCAGAGGCAGGGGTCCCATGTTGGGTGACGTGGTCGGGGTCCCCACACCGCCCTGCACTGCCCTCGTCCTAGTCCGTGAACACGTCGCCGGGGGCTGCTGGGGCCAAAAGTACTAAAAGGCTCAAACGGGACCCAGTGTTTTAATCTCATTCAGAGTAAGAGGCGCATCGGAAGGGCTCAGGCACGAGGCCCTGACTTTATTGTGACAGTGCGTCGCACGTGGCCACGCCCGAGCGTCCAGCCCGTCCCGCCGCGTGGCCCGCGGTGGACGGAGCCGCGGCCGCAGCGCCTCGGGGCCCCGCACGGCCTTCTCGTCCCATTCTGTTCGGAAATGACTGACAGTTCCGGGCCAAGTCCGGACGGTCTCGAGTCAGCCGGCATCCCCTCCTCCGAATGCCAAACTGGGGCCACTCCGACTCCAACAGCCAGGCCCCTGGAAGCTCAGATTCTTCCTGGAGAGGCCGCCCGCCCCCGGTGGACAGAGCGATGCCACTCGCCGCGTCCCAAATGCGGCTGCTGAGACAGATGCTTGGGGGAGGGGGTGCAGGAGGAGCCCTTGCCGCGGCCTTGAAAATGGGTGGACGCCAAGACACGAGCCGTGTCCTCCCCAGGCCCAGGTGGCCGTGTCCTTCCCAGCTGCCTCCTGGGCCTGGGTCTCCGTGCGCAGGGCTGTGCCTTCCTCCCCCGGTTAAGTGTGAACACCTACTGTGCGCCCTCAGCCGGGGACAGCAGTGAACAGACGGGGGGCCCTGCAGACCCACAGCCCGGAGGCTCCCGCCAGAGGGCTGGATCCGGGGACCTGCCCTGGTGTTCCTTGCCACCCCTAGGAGACTCGGGTGCCCCGGCTATCGGTTCCCACACTCTCTTCCTTGGCCAGTCCCTAAATTGGACACTTCTTTGTCTGGGGGAAATAGCCCTGACGTTTTTCTTGTTTTTTTTTTAATTCTCATCCGAGGATATTTTCCGATTTACCTTCAGATAGAGGGGGAGGAGGGGGAGAGAGAGAAATATCGATGTGAGAGAGACATATCCACTGGCTGCCTCCCCCACCAGCCCGACCAGGGCCAGGGACGAACGGCAACCGAGGTACGTGCCCCTGACCGGAATCCAACCCGCGACTCTCTGGTCCGCGGGCCGACGCTCTGACCGCTGAGCCGAGCCGGCCAGGGCAGCCCCGTCCCTTCTGAAAAGTGCCCTGAGCTTGAGTCTTCGCGTTGCCCGTCCTCTCCCAGTTCTCGGCTCCGCGGCGCCGCCGTGTCCCGGGGCCGCTAACGGTGTGCTGTCCCCGCAGGTCTGGTACATGGACGGCTACCACAACAACCGCTTCGTGCGCGAGTACAAGTCCATGGCCGACTTCATGACCACGGAGAACTTCACGTCGCACCGCCTGCCGCACCCCTGGTCCGGCACCGGGCAGGTGGTGTACAACGGGTCCATCTACTTCAACAAGTTCCAGAGCCACATCGTCATCCGGTTCGACCTGCAGACGGAGACCATCTTGAAGCAGCGCAGCCTGGACTACGCCGGTTACAACAACATGTACCACTACGCCTGGGGCGGCCACTCGGACATCGACCTCATGGTGGACGAGAACGGGCTGTGGGCCGTCTACGCCACCAACCAGAACGCCGGCAACATCGTCATCAGCAAGCTGGACCCCGTGTCCTTGCAGGCGCTGCAGACCTGGAACACCAGCTACCCCAAGCGCAGCGCCGGCGAGGCCTTCATCATCTGCGGCACCCTGTACGTCACCAACGGCTACTCGGGCGGCACCAAGGTCCACTACGCCTACCAGACCAACGCCTCCACCTACGAGTACATCGACATCCCCTTCCAGAACAAGTACTCCCACATCTCCATGCTGGACTACAACCCCAAGGACCGCGCCCTGTACGCCTGGAACAACGGCCACCAGATCCTCTACAACGTCACCCTCTTCCACGTCATCCGGTCTGACGAGTTGTAGTTGCCTCTGCCCGGCAGCCGAGGGTCCGGGTCCTCGCCCCCGCGGAACCGCTGCCGCGGCAACGATGCGAGTCGCACCGACTGGGGGGGCGCGGCAGCAGGGGGCAGCCCGGCACCCCGCGACGACGGCATGACCTCCGTGGTCCTCCGGCTCAGGCCGGGGGGCGACAGACTCGGGAAGGAACCCCCCCACTTTGCAGCTGGAACTGCAGCCAGGGCTCCCCTCGCCGCCCCGCCCCCTTTCCGGTCAAATGACATACTCGAGAAGCAAGGCAGTGTCTGTTGGCCAGTTCTCGCCCGAGGACAGCCCGCCGTGAGGATCGCATGGACCCTTCCTTCGATCGCGGTCAGCGCCGATGGACGGGCTGGCGTGTCTCCCGGGGCCCCCCGGTCGCGCTCGGCGTCCGGCGGGCACTGGCTCGTCCAGCTCGTCCCCCAAAACAGCCGCTGCCCCTCGACCGTGTGTTGTCGTAGATTACCGTGCTGAGACCCCAGTAGCCGTGCCCCCGTGTCTAGTACCTGCCGCGGTGGCGGGTGTGCGTGGTGCGGACCGGGCAGTGCCCGCCGCGCCCGCCTCCCGCCGTGGTGTATTGTGCAGCGTGCGTGTGTCTTGTTTCCTTGAGGTGGTGACTCTGTCCGTCGCTGTGTGCAAATGCTGTAGTTCGGATCAGCACGTGGGTGGGTTTTGTTGCTAAAAAGAAAAATAATAATCAGTGTTCACCCCTAGAGAGAGAGAACCGAGTTCGTGTTGGTGGTCATCGCAGGGACAGTCCTCCTCCAGCCCCGTTGCCCAACCCCTGTCACCGCGGATGAGAAGGGCTTGTCGGGGGGACCTCGGCTTCCGAAGGGACAGGAGCGTTCCCGAGGGCACCAGTGTGCGGAACGTACACTTTTTAGGTACAAAAGAGGGGAACTTTGTACTCTCCAGTTATCTAAGGAACAATAAACATATTAGGAGATGTTTCGCCTCTCGTGTCTTTTCTGAGGGCTTTGTAAATGACGGTTCTTCCGATCCTCTGAGCCGTAGTCTACGGGGAGCGTCCCCTCAGAAGGGAGGTCCCCTCAGAAGGGAGGGGAGTTGACAGTGGACACATTCCCTTTGGGTCTCTGACCACCATCCCCCAAAAGTCAGAGGCTAGAGATCGTCTCGGAGCACCCCCCACCCTTGGGTGAATCGGAACAAGGCTGCGCCCCAGGGAACCCCACCCTCACCCCACCCTGCAGACTCCACCTGCTGACGAGCGGTGAAGGTAACCCCAGGCCCGTTCGCTCGCCGGGGGCCGTGGCAGGTCCAGGAGGGGAGCAGCCGGCCCGCGGGAATCTAGGCCCCCAGGCCTTGGCGATGGAGACCTTAGGACCTGCCAGGAGCCCGGGCCACCCTGGGCCATGCCCGTAGGTGCTGCAGGGCCTGGCTCTGAGCAGGCCCTGAGGTTCCAGGACAGACCACACCCAGTGTCCCGAGCCCTGGGCTTCATGCCGGCCAGAAAGGGACACAGCAACTCCCTTTGGGACACAGCCCTCAAGGTCAAGGTGAGGTGTGGCCTCCCGCCCCTCTGCCCAGGACACCAGGACAGAGTTCGGGCCCTGGGAAATGCCAGTGGCCCCGTGAGGCTGGACCGACCGGCATCACCCTCCAACCAAAGAGCAAACCAACCAGCAAGTCCCCAGATGGTCCTGGGTTTCCGTCATTGTCCTGGGGAGACGGCAGGGCAGTGCCCAGGCGGGTTGGGGGTGGCACCTCGGTGAGGGCACAGCCGACGTCACAGTGCTCCGTGTGCCTGGAGTCTGAGGACGTCCGAGAACCTGGGACGCCAGTCCCTGTGCCCACCCAGAGGCTGAAGCCAGTCGGGGACGGGGCAGCTGGGGCTGCGGAGGCCACACCAGGCCTGACGACGTGGCGCCCTGTGGTCGGCCCAAAGCTGGGAAAAGAGGGGGTGAGAGGCCGAGGCAGGCTGGCTCCCCCCCCCCGCGGTCAAGGAACACAGCCAGAGACGGAGGGCTGCTGGCCGCAGCTCACCCCCTGCAGGGCACCATGGGCATCTCCTCAGACTGCCCCCCACTCCCCGGGGGAAACGGGGAGCCCTACACCGCTGGGGGAGGGGCAGGAGGGCTCTGGAAACGTGGTGATCACTGGCCGACTCATCCTGACTCAGCCTTAGGGCCACTGTGGGACCCCCCCCTTCTGGCCTGGGGCCATGTCTTTCCACCCGCTGGGCCCTGGGCTCCAGGTCAGGGAGACAGCGCAGCCTCTGGCCGGCACATCTCGCTGGGCCCTCCCTCTGCCCGGTCCCTGCTGTTTCCACCCAGACACGCTGCGCTCAGCACCCCCTCAGCACCCCCTCAGCATCCCCTCAGCACCCCTCAGCACCCCCTCAGCACCCCTCAGCACCCCTCAGCACCCCTCAGCACCCCTGCTGCGCCCTCAGCACCCCCTCAGCACCTCTCAGCACCCCTGCTGCGCCCTCAGCACCCCTCAGCACCCCTCAGCACCCCCCAGCACCCCTGAGCACCCCCTCAGCACCCCGCTGCGCCCTCCCCACCCGCCTTCCTCTCCTTCCCCGGCTCCACTGACAGAGGCCTTCACTTTCTGGAAGCTTCTCACTCCCCATCTCCAAGGAGAGGTCTCCCTGGGTTCCCCCGCGCGTCTGCCTGCTCCCCGGCATCCGTGACTCACACCCCGTGTGCTGTGGGGTCCCTGAGCCCGAGGCCAACACGTCCAAGAACACTTTCCTGGTGCTCCTGGTGACCATGCCGTCGAGGGGGGTGCCTGGTCCTCCCCCAGAGCCCCGCAGCCCGGCAATGCCCCCTCGAACCGCCCCGGCACCAGCCCACATGAAAACCTTAAGAAGTGGGGTGCGTTTTTGTACCTTCGTGTTCACAGATACCCTGGACAGACGGCCCCTGGCGGTTCTCACGAAAGCCCGGGTTCGAGAGCAGCCCACGAGGCCACGGCTGCCCCCACCTCACGGGGCCTGGCCGGCGCCCTTGGCGGGGCTGCCGCTGCAGGCCGGTGTCCCCGTCGTCCCCGTCGTCCCCCCGAGGACAGAGGAAGGAAGCGCGCAGCCGCCGTCCTGGGCCACCAGAAGGCCGCGCTGGTCGGGCGCGGTGCGAGGGAAGGCAGTCCTCCGGGCGGCACAGACGCGAGCAAAGTGCTTCCACCCGAGCGAGTCCGGCAGCCGGGCTGCCGCGGAACCTCCGGCTCCGGCCCTGGATGTGCTGGCTGGTGGCGGACCGGGTGCGGATGAATTTTCTTTATTAACAGCTTGGCCTGGAATCCAGATCTAACCCCTTCCGGGTGCTCGGAGGCCGGGGCGTGCGGCAGCGCTGGAGCAGCCGGGCCTGGGCTCCCCGGGGGTCGGGGGGGGGGGGTGAGCCGGCCCAGGCGCCTGAGCGGTCGGTTCTCCTCGGTCCGGCGCGTCCCGACAGCCGGAGGCAATGCTCCGGGAAGTGGCGTCTCCGGTCTCAGCTCCTGCGAGTCGAGGCGAGGAGGAAGCTGTGTGGGTGCAGGGGTCCCCTCTGGGGTTCCTGGGACGTCCAGGGCCACCAGGCCGGTGCAGGCTCCTTCCGTGAGGAGGAACGGGGGCCAGGGGCCGGTTCAGGTAGCTGGGCCCCCGGGAGGCTGCGGGGGCCAGTGCCAGGCTGTCGGAGCTGAGCACAGGCCACTCGGAGCCGCTCGCGCCACCCCCACCCCGTGTGCCCCTTCACCCTCCCGCTACCCTGCAGGAGAGGCTCCGGCTCCCCGTCCTCAGATGGAGAATCTCAGGGGAGCTGCGCTCCTGCCGGTGGAGGGGGGTCCAGGCCGTGGGACGGCACAGCCGAAGTAGGGACACGTTGGAAACACTCGGCCCTCGTAGGTCACCGCAGCCGAGGTGGGGCAGGGACCGAGCTCAGATTTCGGACAAGGGTTTTCCTCAGGGCTCGTGGGACAATGAGTCCTGGCAGCTCCTGGGGGGAGGGGTTGGGGCGGAGTCTTGTCCAACCACCTTTGCAGGTGCAAAGAGCATGATCTGGAAGAACCAGCTGCAGGGGCCGCGGGGCCTGAGGACCGAGGCTGAGCCCCTGGACGCACTGGAGGCGGGCTGCCCCCTGCCCCGAGGAGCTCGGAGCCGGGCCGTCTCCCGATGCCCCGTGTCAGCGGGCCCGAGCAGGGCAGCCTTCTTGCTGTGGACAGGATGGTCTGCTCACCGCCAGAGATGTCCCTTCCGTGGTGGCTCAGACTGGCGGAGTTGAGGACACGCTCTCGCGAGAACAATTTCCATTGGTTTCTTCTGCGTGAATCATTTCTGAAAGGACCTCCGGTTTCTATAAATCCACTGTTAGAGATTCTTTTCACAGGCTGCAAGAATGAGGAATGGAGTCCTTCGAACCCAGGAGCAAAGAGAGGCATCAGTGGTGCCCGCACCCCACTTGCATCTTGTTTGCCTGTAACAGTTTTCTCGGAAGATGACACTGGAGCACGGGACTCTGCCTTGCTCCTTTGCGTGGCCGTGTGGTATTCCACGGCGTGGACGTGGCACAGCGCGCGTCATCAGTGCCGCCCTGGTGGTGCCTGGGTTGTGTCTAATACTCGGCTCTTAAGAATAGCCTCTGTGAATAGCCTCGTGCAAAGTCGCACCCGTGACCGGTGTCTTCGGGCAAACGCATCCTCTGCGTCCTCTGCGCCCCCCGATGCTGCTGGCTTCCCTGCGGCAGAGGCGGCACCGTCACCCTCCCTTCGGCACGTCCGGGGCGCTGGGCTCCCCAGGGAGCCCTTGGGCGCTGGGCGGGCGTTGTCCAGTCTGGCAGGTGGGACGGGTCTGCCGGCAGCTCCTGGCTTCCGGGTGCGGTCAGGACAGTCAGGAGGCCGTGCCGGGCTCCCTCCCGGCTGAGACATCACCGTCCTTAGTGCTGTGCTGTGGGAAGTGTGGTCCGGTTTTCTCTTACTCCCCAGGCTGCCCAGGGGCCCCACCACTTCATTGACGTCCTGACCTTCTCCCACTACGAACCCTACGATGAGTGTCCCCTGCGCTCGGGCCCACTTGGGGCTCTTCGGGTCTGTGATGCTGCGGCTGGCAGGGCCCTGGCCGTGACCTGGAGGACTGCCCTCACTCCCAGACTCTCCGCGGGCTCCGAAAGGGGCGTGCGCAGTGCCCCCACCCCGGGCTGCGAGGTCCCACCGGTCACCACGCCTCCCAGTGGGGTTTTGCCTCGGGCCACTTCGTTGGATCAGTGAACATGAACATGGTTTGGGGACGATGTTTCTGAAGAGTCCTTTGTTCTAAACAAAGTGTGGAGAGCCCTAGTCTGCCGGGGGGGCCTGTCCCCTGAAGCATCTTTGGGGAGATCCTGGGCCGAGTTCTCCCCGTGCACGAACGGCCACACAGGGGAGTCGGCGCAGCCGGGCCCTGCGCTCAGCTGCTCCCCCCCGCCCCTGCCCGGCACACACCCGGCGGGCCCTCCAGCTGGTGAGTCACTGAGGCTTATTCATCACACAGCAGGCCACGGAAGGTGCTGGAACAGTGATCCCGGCAAGGATCCCGATAGTCCTCCAGGCCCGGTGCTGTGAGTCTGTGAGTCACTGATGCGGGTGCTGAGCCGGGCAGGAGGCAGGCGCGGCCCTGGCCAGGGGAGGCCAAGGCTGGGTCCGTTTCTGCTCCCGCCTGGCTGGGGGGAGCTGACCTTTCCTGTGTGCTTCCCTCCCTGCTGCCCTGCCCTGCGCACACACATGCGTACAAAGCAACACACGCGTGCACACACCACACGGTACGCCCCTGCACACACACCAGCTGAGTCCCAGCCCCCGACAGGGCACAGAGCAGCAGCTGGTTGGCAAGAGGCCTGGGAAGGGGGTGCTCCTTGGGGGTTTAGCCTCTTCCCTGCGAAATCAGATCAGTGGTCCCCACCTTCTTGCGGGGGGCTGATGCTCCAAAGGCCTCACCCCGCCTCACCTGGGCCACCAGGCCTCCCAGGCCC